GTGCAGTTAAGCACAAAAAATCATACTATTAAATAAACTAGAAAGCAAACTAAACCCCAACTATTCCAAAAAGGCGACACTATCCGCCCTCTGGTCGAATGCTAGCGGCGCTATCAGTCAGACGCGCTGAACTTGCTGAATTTTTTTGGAGACGGTGCATTTTTTCCGATCCCTCCTCCCCTTCCCCAACGTCTCAGGGGAACGGGCGGCTGTCTAGTGTGACCGCCATTCTCACCCCATCCCTTTCCCGGGGCGTGTGCGGGAACGGGGCGGAGAGGGAGTGTGCGGTGTGACCACCATTCTCGGCCCCTCCCTTTTCCGGGGCGTGTCCGGGAGTGGGGCGGAGAGGGAGTGTGCGGTGTGACCACCATTCTCGACCCCTCCCTTTCCCGGGGCGTGTCCGGGAGCGGCGCGGAGAGGGAGCGTGCGGTGTGACCGCCACTCTCGGCTCTGTCACCCTGGTCTCATTCATCTGGCAGCGATCGATCAGCGGCTGGCCTAGATTGTCGCGCCCTCCCCAGCTGCCAGCCGCCTCAGTGCGGCCTCAGTGCCGCCTGAACGCTGCCGTCCGCGCGGCCATTCTCATGGACCGCGCGTCGTTATCGCCCCTCTGCCCGGTGTCCATCCGCGCCAGCCCGCGCCGGCCCGCGCATCGAGCCAGGAACAGTGGCTCGCACCAGCGGGAGCTGAAGAGGACGGATACGCTATGTCGGCGGGGATACTCCCGTGTATCCAGCGCAGTGCGTGGATCGGGATAGGCATATCCGGGACTTCGGGACAAGGCCAGCTCCGATTCCCACGGCCGCACATTCTCCGATCCCGGATACCGATGTCGGAAAACCGTACTTTCCCCGGGGGCTCCCCTTAAAAGAGGCCTCTGTTACAACTTATTTTCGAACAACTCTTTAAGTGTAATTACCATTGCTTAGTGATTATCAACAGCGGGCAGCTTGCAATTATTTGCCAACTGCAAGAACGGAGCTGGAGACGAGCCTGCTTTATTGCAGCTCCAGCTCGAGCGCATGCCACCGCTTTACCGTCTCTCACCCCTATGACTGTGACCAACGCACTGCACAAAGCTAGGCGTCATGGGTTCATTTGGCAGTTCATTCAATAATCCAAACCGGCTGACGAAGATATTGGGGAGGAGCTTGATCGCGTAACTATAACACGCAGATAATTTAACGATCAAATGTTACGCATAGATAGACCAGACCATCACCACACATTTAGACAGGAGTGACACCACCGAGAAGACGGGGACGAGTCTCCCTGTATCGTTGGATAGAAGGGAACGGATTCTGATCCTGACTGACAGCCGGCAGTGGGCGGCCAGAATGACAGGAACCAGCTTTAAAATATTGTCTCTGAGTGACTGGGTCTATGCTTTCTTCACTTTTGCCTACAAACACATTGGTAACGCGCTTTATATCTTTTGATTCCCAAAACGTCTTTAAAAACATTAGGTAGCTTACTGAAATAAGTTAGATAACATATGAGTAAAATGAATAAAAGTGATGAGCAATTGGTTCCTTAAGTTATACCCCGTGATCTCCGCTGTGCCAATGACCTAACCTGTAACAAGATATTCAAGAAAGTTCTGGGACATGAACGAGGATAGAACCGAGAAGAGCACGTCCCCGAGCGAAAGGCTTACACTAGGCACTGGTCCCTTCCAGGTATTTGGGCCAAATTTGCAAGATTTCAGAGAGGAAATTTGCCATCTGGGCCCAGGCGGAAAGGTTTGGAGACGTGTCAGAAGATATGGTTATGAAATTTCGCGGTTTACGGTGCAGCGGTAGGGGATCTTTAAGGGTGTCACAAATGTCACGAACGTCAACATTTTGTTTTTAGGAACATACTGCCTAGCGTAATCTTTGTCGCTTATTCAAATGCAAATGTCAAGGCGGTCTTGTATGATTTTGGTCACCATAACCTTTGAAAGGTCTAACAAGGTCACTGACCTGAAATGGGCATGTGATCTTTGCCTAGTGCAGGTACATGGGTTCTGGGGGCACTTTGGAGACCAACCCGGAGATTGACATTTTTCAACCTTATTTGACACGAAGATCATAACCTAAGACCCTCAAACTTTGACATAAGTGAGTTTAGGTGCAGTCCAATACGCTCTGTGAATTTGGTGTTTCTAGCTCCCTTCGCTCTTAAGATCTCAGCGAGGTCAAAATGATCCCCACCCGAGGAAAGGGTATCCAACCACCCATCCGGGCGCATGTTAAGGGAGGTTGGGATGCAATACCAAGCTAACCAATAGGGTGCCAATGCATGCAATTACAATAGCTTCAGAGGTCCCGCTTGGGCCTGCCAGTCAGTCTTTTGGACCGGCCAGTCACGCTTTTGACCGGCTTATGTTTTTGTAGCCACTGATCGGAACACCGTAAACTTTTCAGCAACAGAAACCACAACTTTTGAAAAGCTATGATATAATAGTGTCAATGCATTAAGGTCCAGTGTGTTTAATAAGGCGGCGTGTTTGTGGATCGTTCCAACATCACCAATACTTCACCATATAATTTGATTAATATGGGCAACGTGAAACTTCCGAGTCCAAAAAAAGTCGAAAGGAGCATATCGCAGTCCAGATCTCGGTGACCAGACGCCACAGAAACATCCAACTAAAAGGTCAAACAAAAAACGATCAATTGTACGGTCAAAGGTACCGGTCAACGTGCGCGGCACAGTCGCGCCCTCTCACCAAACCGCCTCCTCTCAGTCGTGGCGTTCTCCGTCCCGAGCAGAAACGATGCTGAGACGCATGAATCACATTCTTTACGTCCCGATCAGAGCAAAAATCCTGCATGAATAGAAGAGGCGACTCGGAGGCACGCATAGAAGTGCTGAAGCTCCCAAGAAAACCCGAAGTCCTTAGAAGACTAGGTAGACAGTTGTGGTGACTGCCGTGACCTGGACGCCCCCCCCCCCCCTCCCATCCGGTACCGGTTTTTGTTAGGTGTCGAGCCATGGGTGTAAACATGTCTCTTGGATTGGGAGCAGGTCAGATTTGTGGCGGTTAAGCAGGATTCTGGAGGGAACAGCCTGGCCACAAAATGACTGGAAAACGTAAATGCATGACGTACGTAAATGTAAAACGTATTTGACTGGGAAAACGTAAAACACATGTTTTCCATGGAGACAAAACTGAAGGGGACAAAATCACAGTTTCTGAAATTAGAGGGAGAAATTGCAGAAGTTGTCCCCTCCCCCTAAGACCTCAGTGGCTACCCTCATTTAACTGCCCTAGTGGATATCTGGCCTGGTTTCCCCCTGCCATTGTGGCTGAAGACGTCTCTGCTAACGACCGTCGATGCTTCGTCCCCCGAGTGTGGGCAGCGGTAAGCGAGTCCCGCCCTGACCCGTCCTGCGACGTGCAGCAGCTCTCCTCGCATGTCAAGCGTGAACACCACACCCATGCTGCAAGTAATTCCCGTCTTGTCCGAATAGGGGGGCGCCCTTCCAAGCTGTTTCAGCTCTCTGTTGTTGTCGGACGTGGTCAGCAGCCGCGTGTCGTCCCGGCTAAGGTTCGGACGTTTCCGTGGCGGAAATGCTGCAGTGATTTCTCCCGCTCAGTTTTGTTGCCAAGATGACAACGCGGCGTGGCCATATTACCTGCATTGAGTGTTGTTATTTTTGTACTGGTTTTATAAGCGTTCTGTGCTTGTTAAGCAGACACTCAATGCTTCGCATATGGGTGAGCATGTGTTTTGTGTATCATGTTTGCTCAGTATGCGGCATTACTTCCGGTTGAGCTTATTTTGCTAACGGTGCGGTTGACACATTCGCTAAGCGTCATAACCTAACTGATCCGAATTATTTATGCATCGCATGATCATACTGGCTCGGAGGCGCCACACACGGCTGACGATTGGTTGGGGGTATGGTTTTAACATAATTTTTATCGCGTATGGACGCGGGCAAAGATGCCTATTGCCTACCATATGCTTTATGCCTGCGCATTACCTGTTACATGGTCAGCCCATTGCCCATTACAGGTCAAGATCGAAGCCTTGTGAGGCGCCCCACCGTGGGGAAAAACGTGTTCCTACCTCATCGTATGGCAATCCGTTAATTCTCCGACTGGAAATAAAACCTCACAATGTTGTTCATTAGATGACTGGGCACAGCATATTACACCGTATAGATAGCATCATTCTGTTTTGACCCTGCAGTGCTCCACGGGTCCCCGGATGGCGTTGTTACGATCCTGGGATCCCAACATGAAGAACTAGTGCAGGAGCACTGCCAGTCGTGCGTTGGCGGTAGATTGTCCGTTATTGTCTACTAACTTGAACTAAATCAATATCTTGCATCGATTCTGAAGCCTATAACAGAGGCCCATGCCCTGTACAGCCAGAGATGCACATGACTGATATTCATTCAGTCTGAAATCCCATACACTTCATCCATTCCTAGTTTTGTTTCCTGCTCAGTATTCCGCAGTAACGTCTCTAATAATATTCCAGTGTTCAATATCGTCTCGATAAAATATTCCATTAACTCTTGACACCGATAAAAAAATGTCGGCTTCCGGTATTGCCAATAACCAGCTGGTCGCTATGGAAAGCTTTGAACCCGCAGCGAACCCCGCGCGCGCCTGCGCGCCTGGCTGGAGCTGTCCTGGTGTTCAGCTGACGCCGACAGCCGGGCTCGCACCTGGCCGTTAGCAGGACTCACGTGGCCTCGAGCCGCAGCACAGGCCAGCGGGAGCCACGCCACACGGCATAGCCCCAGGCGGCCGTGTCAAGACGCTGCTCGGTGGAGTGATATTCCACGGTACCCACGGGCGAGGAGAATCACTCGATAACTGGAAACACTTGAGAGGCGGGGACGAAACCAACGCGCCCATCTATTTGATCGAGCGTTACTCCAGTCAAAAATTCATGAGGTCAGAACAATAAAACGCGATGAGCAGCGTGACGCATGCGCCGACTCTATCCTCAGCTGACGTGACCTTGCCGGCGACGCCGGGTACGAGCATGACATACCGAGCATGCGCAGAATGGCCTTGCGGTTGCCTCGCTGCCTGGCCTCGCCGCCCGACACGCTGCCCTCCAGGTTACCGCCGATCGTGGCTGCCCGCCGGATCTGGAACAGGCCGGCGCGCCGTTGGCGTGTTGCATGAGGGCCACGTCAGGCGGACAGTCGACGTCATTACAGTAGACACAGAGCCCAGAACGGTGCTTTGCCCCCATTGATGGCGTTTCAGGGGAGTGTGAAGTAGACATGCATTCACATAGCACAGCTGCGGTAACAACATTCCGGATGTCCTGGTTGGTGGTGTTTCGCTGCTCCACGTGGCCCCCACATGAAGCCGCGAGTGGTTGATGACCGCTCCAGTCGCGAGGCAGACAGGCCCCGTCGCCGCGCTGCATGATCGGATGACGCAGCGGTGAAGGCCCATTCATTACGCCATCTCTGGTGGGCGGCTCCTCCGCTGACCGCACTCGTGAGTGGTGTTAAGGTGTGTGCTTGTCTGCTGACGATATTGTCGCAGGACTCAGCGTGTCTGTAATCTGCTGGCGGTCGTGTGGTGCGGTATGGCGCTTGCGGTATGGTGATGCGGTGTCGGCGTGTCGGCTGTCTGCTGGCTGTATTGCGGCGTGGTGTCGGTGTGTCGGCTGCCTGCTGGCTGTATTGCGGCGTGGTGTTCGGCGTGTCGGCTGTCTGCTGCTGTTCGGCGTGTGCTTGCTGGCTGTATTGCGGCGTGGTGTCGGTGTGTCGGCTGTCTGCTGGCTGTATTGCGGCGTGGTGTCGGCGTGTCGGCTATCTGCTGGCTGTATTGCGGCGTGGTGTCGGTGTGTCGGCTGTCTGCTGGCTGTATTGCGGTGTGGTGTCGGTGTGTCGGCTGCCTGCTGGCTGTATTGCTGTGTGGTGTCGGTGTGTCGGCTGTCTGCTGGCTGTATTGCGGTATGGTGTCGGCGTGTCGGCTATCTGCTGGCTGTACTGCGGCGTGGTGTCGGTGTGTCGGCTGTCTGCTGGCGGTATTGCTGTGTGGTGTCGGTGTGTCGGCTATCTGCTGGCTGTATTGCGGTATGGTGTAGGCGTGTCGGCTGTCTGCTGGCTGTATTGCGGTATGGTGTCGGTGTGTCGGCTGTCTGCTGGCGGTATTGCGGCGTGGTTTCGGTGTGTCGGCTGTCTGCTGGCGGTATTGCTGTGTGGTGTCGGTGTGTCGGCTGTCTGCTGGCTGTATTGCGGTGTGGCGTCGGTGTGTCGGCTGTCTGCCGGCGGTATGGTGGTGTGGCGGGGGTTGGGATAGGGGTAGCGACGGCGAAGTGAAGAACGCGTCTGTGTCCTCGCCCAGTGCTGCACCGGAGCCGTTGGTACTGGCTGTAGCCGGATTGGATGAAGCCTTCTCAAGGTATATGTGGATCGGCGATTTGCTCACTGCATCGGCGAACAATTTAAAACGGAGCCTTGATCCAGCTGCCGCTGCTCTGAGCGAATCTGTCGCGGCGGACGGGCAGCCTCATCCGATCTCATTTCATCGGTTTGAGAAAAGTGTTACGATTGGCACATTGAGCCAGCCTGGAACCGGCCTGCAGATCCATAGGAAATCCCGAACATACGAGTGAACAAAGCGACGTCTGAGCTCTGAGCTGACTTCATGCAGAACTCCGTGCAAACTTTTCCCCATCAGTCTGGCAGCGCAGTGCTTTTGCCGCACGTTCCCCGTGGCCGCCTGACCCTCGGTTCAGTAGGACCGGCGCGGCCTAGCCCATTGCCGTGACCTCAGGGTCAGCGGGGCCGCGGCGGGCACTCCACTGAACCCCTCCACCCTGTGGCCATTGCAGCAACGCACCCTCCAATCCTTCCGTTCCAATATTGGCCGACGGCTTTATGTTTTGTTTTCCTACAGCTGTCGCCAACCGGAATAAATAACATTCAGCACCAATAAGCCACACCATGCTGGGCCGTAAACCTGAGCGGGGTCGCCAGCGGGCGCCAGATCCTTTGGCCCCGTCCGCAAGGTACGCGGCTCAGCGGATGCAGCCCCTCCCCCCCCCCCCCCCTCCAGCAGCCTCTCAGTCAAAAGAGTGCGGGTCGTTCGTGCCCAGGGACCTGGGTCGTAAAATTTTTACTCCTAATTGGACGCTTAAGTTGCGTTTTAGGGCGAACAATCCTGTTTTACACCGCTACGATCGTGTAGCCCACCCGTCCAGCCTGCCGCGCCGCCCTGGGCCGTGGACGCTCGGCCGACCGTGAGGAGGCCGGCCGCCGGACCGACTCTGAGTCGTTATTGCCGGCGGGGCGAGGCGCCCGGCCGCGCCACAATAGCGCCGTCTGCGCCGAGGCTCGCCGCGCGGCCGAGTCAACATGCCCTGGTGGCGCGATTACTCAATTATCGGGCAGGGGTGGGGCGAGTGGTCAGTGTCGTCAATGTGGGTCACGGGGACCGAACCGGGGCTGTCGGCAGTCGATCGACGAGCCGGCCGTCAACCGAGGCGCTGAGTCCAGATGTCACGCGACTCTGCCGTCACTGAAGGCGGGGAGGATAGAAGGAGAGGTAGAGAAGAGAGAGAGGGACAGAGAGAAAGAGAGACAGAGAGAGAGAGAGAGAGAAGGTGTGTGAAAGAGAGAGAAGGAGAAGGAGAAGGAGCGAGGGAGAGGGAGAGGAAGAGAGAGTTAGAGAGAGAGAGAGAGGGAGAGAGAGAAAGAGAGACAGAGAGAGAGGTGTGAGAGAGAGCGAGAGAGAGAGTGAGAGAAAGGGAAGCAGAAGGAGCGAGGGAGAGGGAGAGGGAGAGAGAGTTAGAGAGGGAGAGAGAGGGAGAGAGAGCTAGAGAGCGAGAGAGAGAGAGAAAGAGAAAGGAGGGAGAGAGAAAGAGAGACAGGAAGAGAGAGAGAACGTGAGAGAGAGGGAGAGAAAGAGGAGGAGAAAGAGCGAGGGAGAGGGAAAGAAAGAGAGAGAGTTAGAGAGCGAGAGAGAGGGAGAGAGGGAGAGAGACAGAGGGGAAAGGGGGACGGGGGTGTGTTCCTAATTTTAAGAGAAAGGTGTCAATGAGTTCGTAGGATTCAAGTTCCGAATTTCATTGTTCAATTGGGCATGCATAAGGTTCACCGTCAAGATTGAATTGAAGCCATCGGCGGTATTACATATTGAGCTATTAAAGCTACATTATACAAACATTCTATCTAAACGGGGGATGCACTTCACTCTACTGACCGCCATCGAATATCCAGGCATCATAATGCTCTCCAACGCACAAACCAGCTGGGAGTTGAGATTGTCAGATGGACAGGTAGGCAGAAAACCACTGCTCGCAGGGATGTGACGGTCCTTTCACGCCGCGTGCGACCCCTCCCCCGACGCTTCACTACATCCCAATTAAGAAAGCACCGCATGCCATTTTTTTCAGCTATATCTGAAACTCTACCCTGCCTTGTTTTATCAGTACCCCGCGCATCAGTGATATACAACTCTATAAGGGCGCTGGCTGCGTGACTAGCGTTTCTAGCTTACATTACACACAAAAAGTGCAGAATCTCACCGCACCCTGAAGAGCGATTTCATCCAACTTTTCCCAATTTCCCCGCGCCATTCATACTTTCTAACTGACATTGTTGCTGTTTTGATCCGTGGTAGTGAAGATGCCAGGTCCGCCTCTTTCGCTTAACCCCTTTAAAGCGTAAAGTACGTTGGCCATCCTGCGGAACTAGCGTCAACAGCAAGCAATTTCCTCTGGAACTTGAGAACGGTCACGTTTTTGTTGTGCTGGTCTGGTGTCCCGCCACATCTGGGCGGCTGGCACCGAAAGGCAGGCCATCGGACGCGTCCGGTACGAGCCTCACATGGAGAATACACAAATGAACGCGTCCGTCGCCAGATCTCACACGGAGAACACAACTGGACGCGTCCGTCGCTAGGTCCCACATGGAGAATACACAACTAAACGCGTCCGTCGCCAAGTTCCACATGGAGAACACACAGGAAGACGAATTCAGCCCAGGGCCTTACCCAGAACGCACGCTCGCACGCGTCTGACCCTGAGTCTTACACGTAGAGTAGCACACGAAGACTGGACGTATTTGGGCCGAGGTGTCGCACGGAGAACATGCGCCTGTCGAACAAACGCCGGGCGCCTGTTCCCAACGGCGTCAATCTCGTTGCGTGTGCGATGCCGTGGGGCTTGATCGTCGAGCGCTGTTTCTGACAGCCGATCATTATGTTGACATCGCAGGCAGCAAAATTGGCGGAAAAGGCGAAATCTTGACTCCGATTTCGTGCGACGACATTGACACCTGCGCAGGATGAGCGCTGGTACGTGACGCTGTCTCAGGAGGCGGAGACAGGGAGATGTTTGCAGGCAGGCTGGCGCACCTCTAGGCACGTGACTTAGACGCCCCGGGTCCGCCTCAGAAGCCACGCACGCCTCCGTCGGGCCGCCGGGGAGAATAGATGAGACAGCCTGGGAGAACTGAACACCACGCGGGGAGATTGCTTTACTTCGTTCATGGTGATAGCGTGGTGATTCAGAGCTTGGTGTGGGTTGCGATTTTGCTATCACAAACCATGCGTTTTGTTCCCACAGAAGCACTTGGTCCTGAAGGGAGCTAATGATTTACGGACACCAGAGGTTTCTGATTCACATTGTTGGCACCGAAAGACTGACGTACTCGTACCACCTCTTACATAAAAGTACTCCGTCCTTTCAATTTGACCTTGTTAAAACTGCCGGTTGTTAAGTTAACAGTGGAGCTATTTTCACAACGTTCCTTCAGAAAGACCGGGCTGTGATAAGTTCCTTCATCAATGCTGTCACAAAGCCTCGCGGCTGTGGTCGTGCCCGGCCGACTGTGGTGTCGCGGTGCCCGCCGACTGTGGAGTCACGATGCCCGCGGCCTCGGCCGACTGTGGTGTCTGGGTGCCCGCGGCCCGCCCGACTGCGATGCCACGGTGCCCGCGGCCTCGGCCGACTGTAGTGTTACGGTGCCCGCCGACTGTGGTGTCCGGGTGTCCGCGGCCCGTCCGGCCGCGGTGTCACGGTGCCCGCGGCCACGGCTCAGCCCCCTGGCTCGCCCGCTTACCGGCCCGTTTTACCTTGAGTGATTCAGCTGCACTTACTCCCGACTCAGGATGAACCGAGAAG